TAGTGGAGGGTCAACAAAAGAGGGGAAGGCCCTCAACGAGATGGATTGACACAGTGGCTACAATGACGGGCTCAGGTATAGAAAGGATGCAGAAGCTGGCACAGGACTGGACAATGTTTCGTTCTGCTGTTCATGAGGTCACTATGATTGGTGCCAACTCAAGGGCAGCTAACACCACCACTACCACCACCACCTTGGATAGCTTTCTTAATGCTGTGACTTCCTTTTGAAATTTGTATAAGCAACATTGTAGGCTGTCCTACTTTCCTTGGAATTTTATACGCAAGGAGTTCAGACTTGACAGCTTGGATAAAAAAAAAAAATCAAGAAAAGCAAAATAGAGATGTCAGTATTTTATCAAAATAAGCAAAATACAGATTCTATAGGTAGAAGTTCTATACGGAAAGTCTATGAGACAATCTTCACAGAATATGCAGCATTATCTGGGCATTGAAAATTAAATTGTACAAAAAGAAAGTGGAGAGACATAACACAGCTACAGATATTTGAAGAGGAAGTTTTATATTATGCGCAGGCTAAAAAGATTTGGTTTCTTAATAGGTAAGTAGATGATGTAGGGAATTTGTAGGCCAAAATAGTTGAAAGGCGACTTGAAATGAGATAGCAGGGAAATTTATAGATCTAGTAAGAACATAACAAGATGAAACAAGATTTAAACAGTAAGTGTTTTGAAGCTATGAAATGTTTAATCATAAGACGTTCATTGCCTCCTTAGGATAACTTTCAGAAGGGTATAGTTCTGTTTTCTATAATTGATGAGGTATAGCTTTTCAGGAAAAAACAAATATATAAGTTACATAAAATGGTGAAGTTAAAAAAATTCTGGGACAAATTCATTAAAAACTTTGTGGAATAAAAATTCATTATCTTGGAAACTTTATCCTAACAGTTTTATATGTTTCTTTTTTCAGAGACAAATTAAGAATGAAAGAATAATATTCTTAATAGTAGTAGATGTTGTGTACCAAATGATAAGAATAGTTTTTTGGCCAAAAATAAATTAGCAGAAGAAACAAGATTTAGCTGATACCTATACACTTTGGCATTTCACATATTTTAAGGGAGGCATGTGAATGAGCTTAGACTCATAGCCAAGGTGGAGCAAAGGATAAAACGGTAAATTCACAGTCTATTCTTAGAAACCAGTGATTCCGCAGATAGGATGATTTCTGAACTGAATGTCAATCATTTCTAAGTTTGTAAAAATGTCACAGACAACTCAAAACCAATATAAATGTCCTAACTAGTGCCTGAAGTGGATCAGAAATCTGATAAACTGATATATTTTTAAAGAAACAGTTATTAGTACTTCCTGAAATTTGTATACAGATGTAGATATTCAATCAACTATTGAAAGATGGATACACCATAACAATTTAAAATTGCTAACAATGTGTTGCTATGGACTGTGCCTTTTGTCAAATAGGAGCTCTGTTGGTATAGTGTCTAAGGCATCTGACCACTAATCAGAAGGCTGGAGGTTCAAACCCACCATCCTCTCCTTGGAAAGAAGATTGGGCAATCTACTTTGGTAGAGATGCTGCCTAGGAAACCCAAGGAGGGATTACTATAAGTTGGGATAGGACTCTATGGCGGTTAGTTTTTTTTTTTTTTTTCCAACAAATACTGACAAATCTTGAAGGCTACATTATTAATATGACAGCAGTAACTTTGAAGAAATAGCCAGTGCTCTAACACTGTTAGACAGGTAGAGATAAGTATAGATTTGGGTGAAGAGAAGGGCAATGTACCAAATGTGAGTGATCAACACGGTGGCATTGAGGAAGAGGAAGACATAGAGAGGTACGTGGGAGGTGCAGATAACAAAGATGAACCCTTTTGTACATACAGTACTGCATTGTCAGTGAAGGCAAACACAGGTATATGGGTGGATAGATGGGTGGGCAGGCTGAACTATTAGGTATGTCTATGAAGCATGAAGTGTACCCAAGATCATGTATAGGGTGGGCAGACAATGGTTCTACAAGTGTATTTGTACTCTGTAAGAATTTCCAGGGGTATAGTAGAGCTAACAAGGGACAAGGTTGTAGTCACTACTTGCTCACAGCCAGCTACCCAGAGGGAGTGAGTAGTTGAACCAGTGGGCTCGGGACCATAGTCACAGGGGACATCAAACTCAATTGGCATAACATACTACACAAAACATTGTTCTACCTCCTACTTGGGTGAGTAGTGACTGGGATCTTAAAAGCTTCCAAACAGCCATCTTGATGCAACAATGGGTCTCTCCTCATCCAGAGCAAAGAAGAATGAAGAAAACCAAAGATTCATGGAAACGATTAGTCCTTATGACCGGTATACCATGCGATCCTCAGCCTATATGACTATGAGACCAGAAGAACTAGATGGTGCCTGGCTACCACTGTCAACCACTCAGAGGGGGATCTATGGAGGATATCCTGGATAGAGAGGGAGAACAATGTGGAACAAAACTCAAAATCATTTGAGAAAAAAAAAGGGGGGAACCAGGTTTGCTGGTCTGATAGAGCCTGGTGGAACCACTGAGACTATGGTCCCTAGCTGCCCTTCAGGTCTGGAATTGAACCCACACCTGTGGCTCCCAGCCAAACAAAAGACAGGCATATGAGTTGAACATGTATCTGAGGTAGATACACTTCTTGGAGAGAACAATCATGGGAAAAAGAGGGGCTGCTTATGCACAGGGAGACAGCTCAGGGGGTAGGAATGCATGGAGGGATGGGCACAGGGAAGAAGTAACTATTTCTAGAAGGAAGGAACTGTGAAAGTTAACCAGATTCCCTATTTCTTCCCTTATTATGATAAGCAAATGTCATAGTAATAATAAATAACTGTACTCAAAACTGAGAACTACTATTACTTCTTTTGTTTTACCAATACTGAAATGCATCTTTGTAATATCTTTCTTTAATACATAACTTGAAAAGTTACTATTGTTTCAAGTGAACTGATATTTAGAAAGGTTTTCTAACCTGAAATCATAGTACAAACATTTAGATTAGAGATTTGCTTAAATTCTAGCTCTTGGTCAGTATTATTCAACAGTTCTGAATTCAAGCAGGCAAGATAAATCCATTGACTCTATTCTTTCAATGAGATTACCCTGGAATTTTTGTCAAATGTTGTCTAGGATAGAGGTTATGGGGTGGGGTGGGGGTACTTACTTTCTGAGAATATTTTCCATGACCTACCTTAAAAATGTACTTTCATCAGTTTGAAATTTTTGTATAGTTTACTTGTTAGAGGAGTTAGAGGGATTTGACAGGTCTACTTTTTCAGACTTTTAATCATCTCTGGCCCTCTGTTCATAGGAGATGATTTCAGGAGGCTCCACAGCAGCATCCTGCTCATAGTAGCGTGATACAAAATAAATTTATTTTTACCTCAGGCGGAAGCTTCAGCATGGAACTGTGGTTGTGACTCCCTCAGATGTGAAGGAAGCACACAGTCTCCCTCTTAACCACAGGAGGAGTACCTCGGTGCTATGATGATGTAAGGCCCCATGTGCAGAGAGGAAACCCTATGTCCATGGACAGTTCGTAGTGCTTGAGCAACATCTGTATGTTGGGAAATGCTCTCTGGACTGCATGCTAGAGTGAAGAGGCTCCTAGCAGGAATAAGAGTCTAAAGATTTGTAGGGTGAGGCACAGGGGGGCAAATCATAAACCAGAAATCTGTCTTTCCTATTGAAACTTTTAACACACATGCAAAAGGACCCATGTCTTAATTTGCAATCTGAAGAGGTAGAAGTTCAAATCAATCTAGAGGAACCTTGGAAGAAAGGCCTGGTGATCTGTTTTTGAAAATTCAGCCACTGAAAGCCCTGTGCAGCACAGTTTTACTCTAACACACATCAGGTTGCTATGAGTTGGAAAAACTTGGTTAGCAGCCGGCGTGTTAATCATTTACCCCACCTAAGGATTCCTTGTGGGTCAAGTAGTCAGGAATGTAGGACTGAGAAACCATTTGTTCCATAAAACTATGTTATACCTGTTTATATCCATGGAGGCTAGACCTTAATACCAATAAAAAATACATGCACCTAGTCAGTGTTTCTCTAAGAGCACTCTGATGATCATGCAGGTGGTGCTTGTTACAATGCACATTCCTAGGCTTCTCTGCAGAAGGACTAACACAATTTTGGACAAAAGCTTAGCCATACGCATTCTAAGTAAGTATCCATTTTGATTTTGATATTCAGGATCCAGGGGAAGAGTTAGGAGCTCTGGTAGCGTAGTGCCTAAGGCACTTGACTACTAACCAAAAGGCTGTCAGTTCAAACCCGCCAGCCACTCCTCGGAAGGAAGGTTGGGCAATCTACATCCACAGAGATACTGCCTCGGAAACCCAAGGAGGGGTCACTATGAGTCAGGTCTGACTCTATGGCACATAACAACAACAACAGGGGAGGACTTGGAAGTGGTGCTGGGATTGAGGAGGAAGGTAAGGGACAGTAGAGACAGGTGGAAAGGGGAAAATTAACTTTGAATGTGCTCTTGGCCAAGGGCTTTGCATTTTTCATCTCATTTGTTCTTCACAACACTGAAAGCAAATGTTTCTATTTCTATAGAAACTACATTGAACCTAGCGAATTGCTTCCACCAGGACAGTCCATAATATTTTACTCAAGAAGTGAGTCTCAGAGGGTGACTGACTAGTCTATTGAAAACTGGGACTTGAGACCCAATTTAAGATTCCATGTCCTTTTCCTTATACTATATTGGGGATAATGGTGTGATGAAAATGTTCCTTCTTCAGGTTAGGGGAAGGTAAAGGAGAAATTGGTATCTTAGGTATTTACTGCCAGCCTAACCTTTCTTTTCTCAGACACTGGCACTACAAATTGGGTTGAAAGAGATTCCTTATAAATTACTTGCAAAATTGGGCATCGCAGACTTGACTATGAATTTCTAATAGCTGTAAACATTTTCTATGCAAATGCTTTAAACACAGGTTCTCTGAAAATCACAGATACCTACCTTTCAGAACTGAATCTGATGTCCCTTCCAGGAAAACTGAAATGGTCCAAGGCTCTGAGGGGGTCCCCAAGGACTCCACTCTTCGATTCTAGAATTGGGAAAAAAGTGGGGGAAGGGAAGAACATTCTAAAAACAAAGATGGTTCAAATGGAAATTATTTATAAAGTACACATTTCACAGGAAAAAAGAAAAGGAAGGAAATGATAATGAATGTGTTCTTTTTCTTATGTTAAGAATGAAAGAAGAGATGGGAGACGATTGTAGGAAAAGCTGGGACCAGACAGTGAAGAGGAGAAAGGAAAGCTAACTTCATAGAAGAGGAGAATGGCATTATGTGTTGAAGGTTAATAGGGAAGTAAATGTTAAGAGAGGAAAGCAGGAGAGAGTTGGACAAATTCCCAACTACATCAAAACTGACAGGCTCCTGATTGTGGACCTCAGTCCCACAGTCTTCTTCTCTACAACATGTCAGGGAATGCATTTTTAAAGTAAAGAGTGGAAGAGGATGCAGCAAACATATTTCACTTTTTCCCTGTGTGGTTGGTAAGCACAGAAAAGATAGAATGAGAGGGTACAAACACTAAAATTAGAATAAAGCACTAAGGGATCTTGATGATCATTTTCTTAACCACATACTAGAGAACTATTTTAAAATAACATGAAACTATAATATGTTGTTGTTGTGTGCTGTTGAGTTGATTTTCGATTCACAGCAACCCTGTATGACAGAGTAGAACTGCCCCATAGGGTTTTTTAGGCTTTAACCTTATGGGAGTGGATTGCCAGGTCCTTCTCCCATGCAGCCACTGTGTGTGTTCAAACCACACACCTATCCTTTAGCAGCCAAGTGCTTAACCATGGTGCCACCAAAAAACCAAAGCCAAACTCACTGCTGTCGAAGCAGATCCAACTCATAGTGACCCCTCCTTGGGTTTCCGAGGCAGTATCACTACGGAAGTAGATTGCCCAACCTTCCTTCTGAGGAGTGGCTGGTGGGTTTGAACTGCCAGCCTTCTAGTTAGCAGTCAAATGCCTTAGGCACTAGCCACCAGGCCTCCTTATATGACCTTATAAATTCTTTCCATTACCATGTGAAAAGACATCCTCTAATATACTTCTTTGATAAGACTAGATTTTAGAGAAGATATGAGAGAGTTAGGTGAAAAATTTACTTGGGGAGGAAAAGTATCAGAATTATATTTTTTACTCTTGATCAGATTCTGAATACTCAGGTAATGGAAGGAAAAGCAGGCTGTGAAATAGAAGGAAAATAAAAGCAGTAGTTAGAAGTGCTAAGGGCAGCAAATATCACACAATAGTCATTCTATAAATGTGTACTAATAAAGATGACTTCTAAAGCGTATGCTGAGTACAACACACTTCCCAGCTGTAGAGAAAGATTGCTATCTGTGAAAAAGTTACCTGCTCATCCAGAAAAACAAGTTGTGGTTGTGTGGGAAGCTCTTTTCCTACTTCTCCATCCGAAGGCTGGACTAGGACTGAAAGAGCATAGGGTCGCATATATATCAAGTTCTCAGTTTTGACACTGCTTGTATTTCTGGCCCATGTAAAAATAAACAGAATACATCCAGAGATTATAAATATCACTACAGTAGCTATTTTCCATAAACCATTATTATCAGTGATAATATTTGCATTTGCCTATGTTTCTACAAGGTTAATTCTATAGTGTACAATGAATGCATACCAAGGAATAATTACAAATTTATTTTCATATATTTGTTTAGCCATAATAAATGATGGGCTGGGGCAGGTTGAGAAAAGGACAAATTATGAACGTAGATTTTACTAATGTTTATTATGATCAATCAATAAAAGTCTCAAGGAGGGAACTTATCAGACTAAAATACTTAGAAAGCAAGGACACATTCAATAGTATGCTGGTAAACCAGTTCTTGATAAAGTAAAATGACCTTGATTTATAGTGTTTTCCAATTTCTGTGGTGTAAGTATTCCTACCACAGCCAATTCCAAGGTAACAACATGACATCACTCAATACAGTTGGGAAGAGGCCTATGAGCCAGCTTCAACATACCACTGTTTTATATGTAATAGTTCACCTAATCCTCACAGCAAGTTTATATTGATATTCTCCACTGTGTATTTTGTACTAAGTAGGTTCAACAACTGTGCAATTAACTGATTAAATTACTTTAATTGCATGAAGCCCCCAAACCAAAAACCAAATTCAGTGCTGTCAAGTGGATTTTGACTCACGGTGACTCCTCCTTGGGTTTTTAAGGCAGTATCACTACGGAAGTAGATTGCCCAAACTTCCTTCCGAGGAGTGGCTGGTGGGTTTGAACTGCCAGCCTTCTGGTTAGCAGTCAAATGCCTTAGGAACTATGCCACATGAACTCCTATGAAGCCCCCAGGTAATATAATATAGTCCTCCCTTGGTATCCATGGGGGGTTGGTTCCAGGACCACCCCTCTCAATACCAAAATCCACAGATGCTCAAGCCCCTTCTATAAAATTGTATAGTGTTTGCATGTAACCTAGGCACGTCCTCCCTTATATCATATCAAGATTATTTATAATACTTAATTCAATGTAAATAGCATTTCATGTTCCCTCTTAGCCTTTGAATGGGATTGCTTTGACCACTTAATTGCTTTTTAGGAACCATTTTTTCACAGAAACAAGGGTTCTACATGACACAAGTAGCAAACAAAAGTGAAAGGCAAGGTGAACAATGCTGGAGTGCTGGAGAGAGACAGGATCTGTGAAATGGCAAGCGGCTACAACAGGGTATGCCTACACATCACTTCATTCACATGTTTCAACTTAGTGATCAACACATGGTAAATTCAAGTTTTGCTTTTTGGAATTTTCTGGAATTTCTTTTTTTGAGTATTTTCAATCTGCAGTCACCTTGAATCCACAGATGCAGAACCTGTGGATAAAGAAGGCCAACCATATTTACAAATAACATCTACTGAGCAATTGGAGTATGCTAGGTACTACTCTCTGGTAGCATAGTGCCTAAGGCACTTGAATGCTAACCAGAAGGCTGGAGGTTCAAACCCACCAGCCACTCCTCGGAAGGAAGATTGGGCAATCTACTTCTATAGTGATACTGCCTTGGAAACCCAAGGAGGGGTCGCTATGAGTCAGGTCTGACTTGACGGCACGTAACAACAACAACAAGGTAATATTCTCAGATTTCCATGTGTTAACATACTGCATCTTTAAAATGAGGCCATGAGGTAGGTACTCTTATAATCCTATTTTACATATGAAGGAACTGAGATCCAAAAAGTTTTAAGTACCTATCAATGGCCTTACAAGTAATAAGTGTATGACCAAGAGCTAGAGCTGTTAACCAATAAGTGCGCTATATTGCCTCTTGACTCTTAAAGCTTATTAATTGCTGATGTGACTTAGGAATGAAAGGAATAAATGAAAAATATAATAAACAACCATGGATGTATAATTCATGATACCTCCATCCATCTTTCACTCAAGAGTTTTGATTTTAGTATTTCTGATGACCAACTAGCTTTATTAAAAGAACATTATGCTTCAAAATCTTATGGAAACAAGACTTACTGGATCTGTTGAGTCTAGAGAATCTTTAAATCTAATGCCCATAAATAATCTTTCAATCTTGAAAAGAAACTATATCATGAACTTATCATTAAATAACCATCGAGCCCAATTAATGTCTACCTTGAGCATTGAGATCTTATAAAGAATTATTTATATGAGTTTAAACTGACAACAGTTATCCCTAAAACACAAATGAGGGAAAGAAAAAAAAATAAAATAACCTGCTTCTTAGTTCTTTAGTGCTGCTATAATAGAAATACAACAAGTGGAGGCTTCAACAAACAGAAAGTTATGGTCTTATAGTCCAGGAGGCTAGAAGTTTGAATTCAGAGCACCAGCTCTAGGGGAAGATTAGCTCAAAGTCTGAGTTCAGAGTGCCTGCTCTCGGCACTGAGTGGAAGCACCTCAACCTTGGGCTTTAGCTTTGCCTTCCAGGCCCACTGGAGCAAGCTGGGAGCTTCTCCTGACTCATGCAGCTGCTGGCTGCTGAGGTTGATGAATCCAAGATTGGCAGGTAAAATGGCAGATTGTTGGCTTACAGGCTCTGAAGGTAACCATCCCAAGATCGCCAGTCAACACTGTATGCCACTGGTTCAAGGACAGGAACTGGAGATGAAGACTGAACCAAATGCAGGATCCTTTCTACATATACTGGAAGCAGGCCACACCCCAAAGGCAACTCTCCTTTAATTGATTAACTGCTCAGAGCAGGTTCTACCATGGAGGTTATTACACCACATCCAATCTTATCATGGGGAATAAGTATAGCCAGCTGCCAAGCCATTCAAAATCCCAGCCTGGCCAAGTTGACACAAAACCTTAACTACCAACCAAACCAAACTCTCTGTCATGGAGTCAATTTTCATAGCAACCCCCATTGGGTTTCTAAGGTTGTAAATCTTTATAGAAGCAGACTGCCTCATCTTTCTCCCATGGAGTGGCTAGGTGGGTTTGAACCACTGAACTGTTGGGTAGCAGCCAAATGCCTTAACCACTCACCAGAGCACCTCTTAACTACTACATCTACCAAATTAAATGTTTATGAGTCAACTACTCTACTCTGTTGATAGATTTTTTTCCTACTTGAGGAAGAAATAGGAGCTCTGGTGGTGCAGTGGTTAAGGCTTTCAGCTGCTAACTAAAAGGCTGGCAGTTTGAACCCACCAGCTGCTCTGTGGGAAAAAGATGGGACAATTTGCTTCCATAAAGATTTATGGCCTTAGCACTATGGGGCAGTTCTACTCTGTCCCATAGGGCTGCTATGAGTCAGAATTGACTTGATGGCAGTTGGTTTGGTTTTGGTTTGGTTTATATGAGAAAAAAGGAGAAACTACTTATTACAGAGGGTGCACACCAGGTAAATATAAAGGATAGTCTTAAAAATAGGAAAAAGTGGAAGAGCAAATACAGAGGATTAAGAAATATGCTGCTTTTGAAGAAAGTGATTCTTTCTTCCCTTGGGAATGCTGGGAAATATAGATAGAGTGGGGGACATATGGTCCTAAGAACCCTCTATGGTCATCTACCTGTTTAAGCCCTGGCCTCTAACTAGAGCCAGTCACTGGAAATTCAATATTGACTAGGCCAATCATCATTTATCAGTTTGCTAAGTCTAAGTGGTTAAGACTTCTTTCCTTTTTTAAGGGAACAATTTGAATCAGATTTTTTAAATCCATGCTATTAATTCTATCCTTCTCTGAATCGTAAGTTATTGGGACATTTTAACATTGGTACTAGGTCCTAATTCTCCTTTAAACTATCCTTTAAATGCTTTCTGATGTGGATATGAGGTGCAGGCAAGCAGTCTGGGTAAAGAGACTGAAACAACCCATCAAAGAGTCTGACATAAGTACATTGATGTCTAGCAAGCCACGGATGGGAACCAACTGCCTGAAAACCTGTGAAAAGGCCCTTCCCTGACACACTTTAAAGTTTATTGTGAGCAAACATCTCTTATTAAATGTAAACAGCATCTCACTGGAGGTCAGAGACTTGCTGCTACAGCATATCCCAAGGTAATACCACTTTAAGCTCCACATAAACTCTTAAGCAGTTTCTATCCTAAAACCTGACCGTAGGTGGTACAGTTTTTTACGATATGTTATAATAGTGCAATAAATCTGTTAGCTTAAAATCGAATCTCCGTGGCCTTTTAGAGAAATCATCATTAAATGCAGGGTCCTGTTAATGATGCCATCGAAGTGAAATTGTTTAATCTGCTAAGGGGGTGAAAGGTCACCAAATGAATTTTTTATAATACATCAACTTGACACGCAATAGGGAAAACTGTAATAGATAAAAGCAAAGGAAAAGGGCACTGTCTTCTTCTGATAGGTCAATAGCAGCCAAGAGAGTCACTCATCCACTTTCCTTTCACAATGGGGCTCCTTTTGCATTTAATATGGACACCCAATTAATACCTCAGCACCATAGACAACCTCATTTTAGGTGACTTATAGCAATTTCTCCCCCTTCCCTGAAATGAAAGTGATCACAATACATCATAGCATTGTGCGAATTAACGTTAATTGATTCAAGTTACCAAGCAATGATGGGCCACTTATATAATCTAGGCGTTATTGGGTGCTAGAAGGGATGGAGGGAAGATTAGATTCCAGTGTCCGTTGCTGTGACGACGGGAGTCACCTGATGCCTTGTTAGACAGTTGTAAGGTTCTATTGCTGGCCCCACTGGGGTCGTCAGTAAACTGGAGTGATGTCCAAACATCATTACATGCTGCTCCAATATTAAAGCAAAGGGATTAGCAACTTATTGCAAGCAACCTGGATTTGTCATTGTGCTGTCCTTATCCAATTTCCAACTGCTAATGTGACTGTAGCCTGCAGGCAGAAGGACCTACAGCCAAACTTTAAAAATGGGAGAGGAAAGTTCCCTCTGATGCTCCCAGTTTTAACCACTATTTAACAGCTCCCAATGCTTAGCAAGGTATGTGCAAGAATTTTTTTTTTCTTACAATGCTTAAG